TCTATGAAAGGAAGCAGCAGAAGTATGTTGGCTGGCATGGCATCTTAGTGTTGGGAGGGGCCCCAAGGGCCACCCCATCTCTATCTATTTGTTTATCTATATATCCAAAGGCTGTTGCTAGGTGAAGTGGCCCTCTGTGATGTCACTGGGAATGAGAGGTGACCTGTGTATGTGGAGAAGAAGGGAGGAAGGCAGAAAAGAGCCACAGAGAGAGCCACATTGCTATGAAGACATTTTTGAGATGGACCTTTCTTAGAGCCGGAGAAGGGAGAAGGTAGGCCTTCAAAAGCTGGAGAAAGGAGGCCTTCAGCATCTGGAGAAGAGTGAAAGTAGGCTTTCAACATCTAGATAAGTGTGAAGGTAGGCCCTCAGCATCTGGAGAAAGTAGGCCTTAAAAAGTTGGAGAAGGGTGAAAGTGGACCAACCACAACTGGAGAAAGTAGGCCTTCATCAGCTGGAGGGGAGTGAAAGTAGTCTTTCAACAGTTGGATAAGGGAGACAGTAGGCCTCCAACATCTGGAGAAGGGTGAAAGTAGGCCTTCAACATCTGGAGAAAGTAGGCCTTCAAAAGCTGGAGAAGGGTGAAAGTAGGCATACAGCAGGAGGAGAAAGAAGGCTTTCAACATCTGGAGAAAAGTGAAAGTAGGCCTTGAACATCTGGACAAAGGTGAAAGGCGGCTTCCACATCTGGAGAAGTGTGAAATTAGTCTTCAACATCTGGAGAAAGTAGGCCTTAAAAAGTTGGAGAAGGGTGAAAGTGGGCCTACCACAACTGGAGAAAGTAGACCTTCATCAGCTGGAGGGGGGTGAAAGTAGTCTTTCAACAGTTGGATAAGGGAGACAGTAGGCCTTCAACATCTGGAGAAGGATGAAAGTAGGCCTTCAACATCTGGAGAAGGGTGAAAGTAGGCCTTCAACACCTGGAGAAAGTAGGCCTTCAAAAGCTGGAGAAGGGTAAAAGTAGGCATACAACAACTGGAGAAAGAAGGCCTTCAACATCTGGAGAAGAGTGAAAGTAGACCTTCAACGTCTGGAGAAGTGTGAAAGTAGGCCTACAACAACTGGAGAAAGTAGGCCTTCAACAGCTGGAGGGGGTGAAAGTAGTCTTTCAACAGTTGGAGAAGGGAGACAGTAGGCCTTCAACATCTGTGGAAGGATGAAAGTAGGCCTTCAACACCTGGAGAAAACAGGCTTTCAAAAGCTGGAGAAGGGTGAAAGTAGGTGTTCAACATCTGGAGAAGGGTGAAAGGAGGCTTCAACATCTGGAGAAAGCAGACAGTAGGCCTTCAAAAGCTGAAGAAGGGGACAGTACATCTTCAATCCTTGGAGATGGGTAAAAGTAGGCCTTTTAAGAGCTGGAGAAGGGGGAAAGTAGGCCTCAGTGCTGGACAAGGGAGAAAGCAGGTGGGCAGCAGTCCCAACGACACTCAGGCAATGCTGGGTAAATGAGCTAGTCTTGCTCTACAGGAGCACACTAGAACTTGGAAAGATGTCCACCCAAGCTTTGCTTAATAAGGACCACCAAAGAAGGCGAGTCCACCACCCTTCCTTGTGATTCTTAAGATGTGAAATCCCTTTTTGATCAATTTTTGGGAACATGAAATAGATTGATGTATTTGTGAGGCTAATAACGAACGAGATGGTGTTTTTGGGAGAACGGAGAGCTACGACTAACCCCTTACCCATAGTGATCAATGACTTTGAGGACACCACACCACTAATCAATGCTTGCTAAGAAGCCCTTTCAAACTGGGCCCTAGCTATAGATGTTCTCCTAGGCCAGTGGTTCTCAACCTGGGGTCCCCAGATGTTTTTGGCCTACAACTCCCAGAAATCCTAACAGCTGATAAATTTTCTGAGATTTCTGGGGGTTGTAGGCCAAAAACATCTGAGGACCCCAGGTTGAGAACCACTGTCCTAGGCCCTACTTTCAGAGTCGAGAAAACAACAAGAAATTCAGAAGGTTCTCGGTTATCCCAATGGGGTCTCCAACCTCACCTCTTTCCTCAGTGAGGACTTCATTGTGTCGGTGCTTGTCTCTAGACTCATGGTTTCTAATTAATTAATGAACGAATTTGATAGAAGTGAGACTCAGTTGTGGAGGAAGAAGCCGGTGGACGTATCCGTTGGTAACTCTGGTGGCTTTTTGGACGACCCCGTTGCTCCCCAAACCAATGGCGATCTGTCTAGCCCATCATCCTGTCCCTTTGGGACCTGGCAATAGGATGGTGAATCTATATATAGTCAAGGGACGAAAAGTCGGCACAGCATTTAAGCTTGTCCACCTTGTGAGGACCAGCCCTATCTCAAAGGGTGGTCTCCTCCAGATCCAGGAGATACGGGGATACGAAGGCAAACCCTGGCTGGCTGCTGTTCTTTCCTTTTGGTGAAAGGATCAAGGAGACAATTCCAACCAGGCTTTCTGAAGGACATCCGTCGGAAGGTTCAGACCTTTGCAAGGACCAATGAGGGAAGTCGGAAGGAGGGTTCCAGAGAAGAACCTGTTTGTTGACAGTTGGGAGGAGGCACCAAGCCTGGAGACGTATGCAGGACTTAGTTGAAAGCTATTTTGGGAAAGGCGGAAGCCATTGAAACTACGAAAATATTGGCTAAAAGAGGAACAAACTGGCTTTCTACCAAACCACCAGATAAAAGATAATGTGAGGATCATATGAGGGTTGAATGAAAAGTAATGCCTCCACCTTCGTAACTCCTCAACAGATGGCAGTACTGGTATGCGGAAGGTACCGGCTTGTTCAGTAGACTTTCCTCTACAGTTCCATTTTGGCCGGAAGCCTTAGCATTGAACGGTTGTGTTGTTAAAGTGAAAAGTAATGCCTCCACCTTCGTAACTCCTCAACAGATGGCAGTACTGGTATGCGGCAGGTACTGGCTTGTTCAGTAGACTCTCCTCTGCAGTTCCATTTTGGTGGGAAGCCTTAGCAAAAAAAGTAATGCCTCCACCTTTGTAACTCCTCAACAGATGGCAGTACTGGTATGCGGAAGGTACTGGCTTGTTCAGTAGACTCTCCTCTACAGCCTTAGGATTGAACGGTTGTGTTGTTAAAGTGCAGAGTATGGAACGCTGCGCAGACGTTCAGTCAATGAGACTTAAGCTGCGTGCAGTCATTGAATTCTTGACAGTAGAAAGTGTCACTTCAACACCTTTAAACTATCTCACCCAACGACGCACAGTACTCACATCAACACAATCACCATATCTGTCAACCGTTTGCTTGTGAAACTCGGTGGGTGCTGTCACAGGACGTCCAACTCTTTGTTTGTCGCGCAAGTCAGATGTTTCCACCTCAACATCTTTAAACTTACCCAACAAATCACAGTACTCACATCAACACAATAACCATCAACAGCTTGCATTCTCTGATGAATCTCCTTTGGGGTGACACCTTCTGCTGTCAAGAATTCAATGACTGCACGTTGCTTAAGTTGCATTGACTGGCTGCGCAGGGTTCCATACTTCACACTTTAATAACACAACCGTTCAATGCTAAGGCTTCCCACCAAAATGGAACTGTAGAGGAGAGTCTATGGAACAAGCTAGCACCTGCCACATACCAGCACTGCCATCTGTTGAGGAGTTACAAAGGTGGAGGTATTACTTTTGCACAGACAGTCAGTCATTACGACTTAAGCAACGTGCAGTCATTGAATTCTTGGCAGCAGATGGTGTCATCCGCAAAGGAGATTCATCAGAGAATGCAAGCTGTTTATGGGGATTGTGTTGATGTGAGTACTGTGCGTTGTTGGGCGAGTAAGTTTAAAGATGTTGAGGTGGGAGCACATTACTTGCGTGACAAACAAAGAGTTGGGACGACCTGTGACAGCAACCACTGAGTTTCACAAGCAAAAGGTTGACAGATTGATTCAGGACGATCGTCGTATCACTCAGAGAGAAATTCCAAGCATAATCGGCATTTCACAAGAACATGTGGGTCACGATTGCTTTGCTTGGCTATCTGAAGATCTATGCACAATGGGTACCCAGGATGCTGATGCCTGAAATGAAAGCGCACAGACTTGAAATTTCAGAGAATGGATCTCACCACCATACAACATCCTTCATACAGTCCAGATTTAGCACCGCCTGACTTCCATTTGTTCCCGATAATGAAAGAAGATCTGCGGGGACATTATGATGCTTCTGATGAAGACGTTGAGAGAACTGTGGGACGCTGGTTGTGGAAACACAAGCAAAAAGTTGACAGATTGATTCAGGACGATCGTCGTATCACTCAGAGAAAAATTTCAAGCATAATCGGCATTTCACAAGAACGTGTGGGTCACATTATTGCTTTGTTTGGCTATCGGAAGATCTGTGCACGATGGGTACCCAGGACGAGAGGACTGTGAGAAGCTGGTTGTGGAAACAGAGTGTTGACTTCTCAGAAAACTTGTTCATCGTTGGCAGAAATTTATCCAATTGTCTGGTGATTATGTGGGAAAGTGAAGAGCACATACTAAGGATTATTTCTGCATTTGATTTATTGAAATATTCCCATCCAAACCCAAGTAATGAAGGTAGAGGCATTACCTTTCATTCAACCCTCATATTAGACACAATTGAATATTACAAAATAAATAACCAAGAAGAACTTGCCCTCTTAAGCCCTCTTAAGCCTTGATGTAGAAAACGCATTCGATAACCTGAATTGGGATTTTCTAAAATTATTTTTGAAAGAATTAGATTGTGGGTACCAATATATAAATGCAACAGACATATTATATGACTACCAAGAGGCAACAATTATTATAAACTAACCATCCCCTGTCATGTGTTGATGTGTCCCAGTCTGGGTATATGTGTTTTGTGTGTGGTTTTGCATATGTAATGTAATTTTTGTTTTTTGGCTTTTTAAAAACTCTGCTGTAGTTTTCCATGTTTTTATGAGTGATGGTCACTCGTTGGCCTGAGAAGTGTCTTGTGTCCAAATCTGGTGTCAATTCGTCCAGTGGTTTTTGAGTTATGTTAATCCACAAACGAAGATTACATTTTTATTTATATAGATTAGGGGAAAAAAACCATACAGACTTACGAATGAAACTCAAAGTTAGTCTCCAAGATAGGGAATTTTATCAAAATATCATCCCAGCTCTGAGGAAAAGGATATTTTCGTGTCATTGCAGTTGGCGTAGAGACTTCCGTAGCAAATTCCTGGCTCATTTCCTTTCTAAAATGTATTCTTTCTCCATACAAGTACCTGAAAACTATATATTCCACAGAGAGTTGCCAAAATCAAACGCATACATAGCTCTAGCCCAACATCAATGCTCTCCGCTTCAGGTATATAAGAGTTTTGTCAGACGAACCAGGTGGATCTCCTTGTTGTCGTTGAGCTCCAACTCCCATCATCCTCCCCCAATGCTGAGATGATGGGGATGATGGGAACCAGAGTCCAAAAATCTCCACTTCTTCTTGCATGCCTTATATCAAAAGATGCCAGAATCCCCCCTCTCCCAAATTCCTAGAAGAAACAAACAAACAAGCCAACAGAAACCCAACAATGGAAGCTGGACCCCATCCACATAAACCCATCCAAAAAGCCCTGAGCAAGGAGGAAGCCAGTCCCAAATTCGGAAAAAAGGGGCTTTACAGTTTGTCGGCAAAGGATCCCAACTCCGGCTCCTTTATCCTCAAGGAACGAGCTCCCTCTAAAGGTAGCATTTCTGTTACCTGCCAAAATACAAACCAACACAAACAAGAATAATAGAATCAGTTACAAGAGACCCCCCCAAGGGCCACCTAGTCCAACCCCATTCTGCCAGGCAGAAAACACAACCCAAGCCCTCCCAACAGACAGCCATGCAGCCTTCTGCTTGCAAAGCTCCTTGTGAAGGCCAAGATGAAAAGCTCACAGAGAGGTCAGTAAGCCTTGCTTTGCATCATTATAACTTACTAGCTGTACCTGCCACACGTTTCCTCCCTGTTTCCTTCCTTCCTTTCCTTTTCTTCTTTCCTTCTCTACCTCTTTCCTTCCTTCCCCTCTTTTTCTTTTCCTTCCTTTCTCTCTACCACTTTCATTCGTTTCTTCGCTTTTTGCTTCCGTCCTCTTTCCTTCTTTCCTTCCTTTTCTTCCTTTCTTCCCTCTTTTCTCCTTCCTTTTTCCTTCTCTCCTTCCTTCTCTACCTCTTTCCTTCCTCCTTTTTCTTTTCCTTCTCCTCTTTTTTCTTCCTTCTCTTCCTTTTCCACCTCTTTTCTTTCCCTTCTTTCTTTCTCTCCTTCCTTCCTTCTCTACCTCTTTCCTTTTTTCCTCCCTTTTTCTTTTCCTTCCTTTCTCTCCTTTCTTCCTTCTCTACCTCTTTCATTCCTTCCTTCACTTTTTGCTTCCATCCTCTCTTTCCTTTGTCCTCTTTTTTCTTTCCTTCTCTCCTTCCTTCTCCACCTCTTTCCTCCTTTCCTTCTCTTCCTTCCTTCTCTACCCTTTCTTTCTTCCTCCCTTTTTCTTTCCTTCCTTTCTCTTTTCTTCCTTCTCTACCTCTTTCCTTCTTTCACTTTTTGCTTCCATCCTCTCTTTCCTTCCTCCCTTTTTTCTTTCCTTCTCTCCTTCCTTCCTTCCTTCCTTCCTTCCTTCTTTCCTTCCTCCTTTCCTTCTTTCCTTCTCTCTTTCCTTTCTTCTTCCCTTTTTCTTTTCCTTCCTTTCTCTCCTTTCTTCCTTCTCTACCTCTTCCTTCCTTTCTTTTTCTTCCTTCCTCCTTCCTTCTTTCCTTCCTTCCCCTTTTTTTTCCTTCTTCCTTTCTTCTTTCTCTTCCCTTCCTTTCCTTCCCTTCCTTCCTTCCTTCCCTCCTTCCTTCTCTCCCTCTTTCCTTCCTTCCTTCCCTTTTTTCTTTCCTCTCTCCTTCCTTCCTTCTCTGCCTCTTTCCTTCCTTCCCCCCTTTTTCTTTTCCTTCCTTTCTCTCCTTTCTTCCTTCTCTACCTCTTTCCTTCCTTCTTTTGCTTTTTGCTTCCATTCTCTCTTTCCTTCTTTCCTTCCTCCCCTTTATTCTTTCCTTCTCTCCTTCCTTCTCTACCTCTTTCCTTCCTTTCCTTTTTTCTTTTCTTTCTCTTTTTTCTTCTTTCTCTACCTTTTCTCTGTCCCCTTTTTCTTTTCTCTCTCCTTTCTTCCTTCTCTACCTCTTTCTTCCTCCTTCTTTTTCTTCCTCTTCCTCTTTCCTTCTTTCTCCCTCCCTCTTTCCTTCCTTCTCTTCTCTTTCGTTCCTTCCTTTCTTTTCTTCTTTCTTTCTTCTCCTTCCTTCTCTACCTTTCTTTCCTTCCTCCTTTTTCTTTTCCTTCCTTTCTCTCCTTTTTTCCTTCTCTACCTCTTTCCTTCCTTCACTTTTTTCTTCCATGTTTCTTTCTTTCTCGCTTTCCTTCCCTCCCTCTTCCTTCCCTTTTTTCCGTATCGTCATTTAGCTTCTTTTTTTGTGCATTTTTAAAAACAAGACCAAAAAGGCCCCATCAAGAAACGGATGCTAAGAATACTCACAGGCAAAACAGCAGCCAGGTAAGGCCACACCTGTCGTTGCAATGCAGATGTGGCCGAGTTCAGGTGCTTGGAAGTTCGGCCCGCTCCCGGTCAGTGTCCTGCGCCCCCCAATCTTTAAGGGATGACGTCCTGGAAAGGGCACGGGATTCTGGGCTTGGCAGGGAATCCTCCATGGCTTCGCGCCACCAACAACACCAGGAAGAAAGGAGCTTGTTCCGCACGACTCGGGTGCAAAAGACAAACATAATGCAGTTGGCGCCACCTTGGAAGGTGTTTCCAATGCCCTGGGGGGGGGGTTGGGGGGGGGGGAGATACCATAGAAAGGTAAATAAAAAAACATAGGCGCCTTTAATCTATCTATCTATCCATCCATCCATCCATCCATCCATCCATCTATCTATCTACTAGGTATGGGCAATCCATGGTTCTAAAGTTCTGGTGGTGAAAATTTCAGAACTCTAACAAAACTTTCAAAATTTCATAATAATTTCATTATTGACCATTTTTATGACGGAACCAATTAGGAACTGCCATTTATAACGAAATTTTGAAAGTTTTGTTAGAGTTCTGAAATTTTCACCACCAGAACTTTAATTTTCAAAGTTTTGTTAGAGTTCTGAAATTTTCACCACCAGAACTTTAATTTTCAAAGTTTTGTTAGAGTTCTGAAATTTTCACCACCAGAACTTTAATTTTCAAAGTTTTGTTAGAGTTCTGAAATTTTCACCACCAGGATTTTAATTTTGAAAGTTTTGTTAGAGTTCTGAAATTTTCACCACCAGAACTTTAATTTTGAAAGTTTTGTTAGAGTTCTGAAATTTTCACCACCAGAACTTTAATTTTGAAAGTTTTGTTAGAGTTCTGAAATTTTCGCCACCAGAACTTTAATTTTGAAAGTTTTGTTAGAGTTCTGAAATTTTCGCCACCAGAACTTTAATTTTGAAAGTTTTGTTAGAGTTCTGAAATTTTCACCACCAGAACTTTAATTTTGAAAGTTTTGTTAGAGTTCTGAAATTTTCACCACCCGAACTTTAATTTTGAAAGTTTTGTTAGAGTTCTGAAATTTTCGCCACCAGAACTTTAATTTTGAAAGTTTTGTTCGAGTTCTGAAATTTTCACCACCAGAACTTTAATTTTGAAAGTTTTGTTAGAGTTCTGAAATTTTCACCACCAGAACTTTAATTTTGAAAGTTTTGTTCGAGTTCTGAAATTTTCACCACCAGAACTTTAATTTTGAAAGTTTTGTTAGAGTTCTGAAATTTTCACCACCAGAACTTTAATTTTGAAAGTTTTGTTAGAGTTCTGAAATTTTCACCACCAGAACTTTAATTTTGAAAGTTTTGTTAGAGTTCTGAAATTTTCACCACCAGAACTTTAATTTTGAAAGTTTTGTTAGAGTTCTGAAATTTTCACCACCCGAACTTTAATTTTGAAAGTTTTGTTAGAGTTCTGAAATTTTCGCCACCAGAACTTTAATTTTGAAAGTTTTGTTCGAGTTCTGAAATTTTCACCACCAGAACTTTAATTTTCACGTTTTGTTAGAGTTCTGAAATTTTCACCACCAGAACTTTAATTTTCACGTTTTGTTAGAGTTCTGAAATTTTCACCACCAGAACTTTAATTTTGAAAGTTTTGTTAGAGTTCTGAAATTTTCACCACCAGAACTTTAATTTTGAAAGTTTTGTTCGAGTTCTGAAATTTTCACCACCAGAACTTCAGAAACACTGTAGAAGCAAAGCAATAGCGCCCCCTAGTTTTGTAAGTACTTCAGAACCATTGAGAACCACGGATTGCCCACGCCTACTATCTAGCTATCTAGGTCAAAATATGCATGTTTGTTTGTCAATTTGAAAGGGGAAGCCTCTGCCTTGGTTTGTGTTTGTGTGTCTCATTGTATTGTAACAAGGCATTGAATGTTTGCCGGTATCTGTTTACACTGTAATCTGTTCTGAGTCCCCACGGGCAGAAGGGCAGAACATAAATAAAGTATTATTATTATTATTATTATTATTATTATTATTATCCAGAGAAATGTGTATGAAAGCCAGAGCTCGGGTGTTGTCATTAAAGCGGTGAGCTCCGAATATGTTTCCCATCCCACTCAGCCATTCATGCTACAGTGCGGATGTGCCAAGTGAGTCCTCTCCTCTTATTTGGTGACAAGACTCACGTGGAGGACCACCAGCAGCGGGTTCTGGACAGCCGGGGAGCCGCAGAGTGTCAGCACGAACCGGATGGTGCTCCAGATACGAAGGAAAATGAATATAACAGGGATCAAGACCAACTTCTTATCCGCGACGGACGTCCGAGGCTGGGTGTCTGTCGCCCTGGACAGAATCGGCCGATATTCCGAAAGCGCGGCATGCTTCGAAAGGGAAGGAGAAGAAGCTTTGTGACAGATAATAACCAATAACAAGTGAAGAGAGGAGAGCGGGCATGCTCAGCACATGGCAGAATGGTGCGCATGCGCGGCCGAGGGAGAGCATGGGAGGCTGGAGGGAGGCTCACAACAGTGAGTCCCTTCAAGGCATTCTGTGTAGGAAGTCTGGCCCAATTTTGTCCTTGGTGAGATTCTGAATTCTCTTGGATTGGAGGTGAACTATAAATCCCAGCAACTACAACTCCCAAATGTCAAGGTCTATTTTCCCCCAACTCCACCAGTGTTCACATTTGGGCATATTGAGTATTTGTGCCAAGTTTGGTCCAGATCCATCATTGTTTGAGTCCACAGTGCTCTCTGGATGTAGGGTAACTACAACTTTCCATCGTTGGTGGGGTTCAGAATGCTTTTTGATTGTAGGTGAACTATAAATCCCAGCAACGACAACTCCCAAATGTCAAGATCTATTTTCCCCAAACTCCACCAGTGTTCACGTTTGGGCATATTGAGGATTCGTGCCAAGTTTGGTCCAGACCCATTATAGTTTGACCCCACCATGGTCTCTGGATGTAGGTGTGCCAAGTTTCGTACACTTCCATCATTGGTGGAGTTCAGAATGCTTTTTGATTGTAGGTGAACTATAAATCCCAGCAACGACAACTCCCACATGTCAAGATCTATTTTCCCCAAACTCCACCAGTGTTCACGTTTGGGCATATTGAGGATTCGTGCCAAGTTTGGTCCAGACCCATTATAGTTTGACCCCACCATGGTCTCTGGATGTAGGTGTGCCAAGTTTCGTACACTTCCATCATTGGTGGAGTTCAGAATGCTTTTTGATTGTAGGTGAACTATAAATCCCAGCAACGACAACTCCCACATGTCAAGATCTATTTTCCCCAAACTCCACCAGTGTTCACGTTTGGGCATATTGAGGATTCGTGCCAAGTTTGGTCCAGACCCATTATAGTTTGACCCCACCATGGTCTCTGGATGTAGGTGTGCCAAGTTTCGTACACTTCCATCATTGGTGGAGTTCAGAATGCTTTTTGATTGTAGGTGAACTATAAATCCCAGCAACGACAACTCCCAAATGTCAAGATCTATTTTCCCCAAACTCCACCAGTGTTCACGTTTGGGCATATTGAGGATTCGTGCCAAGTTTGGTCCAGACCCATTATAGTTTGACCCCACCATGGTCTCTGGATGTAGGTGTGCCAAGTTTCGTACACTTCCATCATTGGTGGAGTTCAGAATGCTTTTTGATTGTAGGTGAACTATAAATCCCAGCAACGACAACTCCCACATGTCAAGATCTATTTTCCCCAAACTCCACCAGTGTTCACGTTTGGGCATATTGAGGATTCGTGCCAAGTTTGGTCCAGACCCATTATAGTTTGACCCCACCATGGTCTCTGGATGTAGGTGTGCCAAGTTTCGTACACTTCCATCATTGGTGGAGTTCAGAATGCTTTTTGATTGTAGGTGAACTATAAATCCCAGCAACGACAACTCCCAAATGTCAAGATCTATTTTCCCCAAACTCCACCAGTGTTCACGTTTGGGCATATTGAGGATTCGTGCCAAGTTTGGTCCAGACCCATTATAGTTTGACCCCACCATGCTCTCTGGATGTAGGTGTGCCAAGTTTCGTACACTTCCATCATTGGTGGAGTTCAGAATGCTCTTTGATTGTAGGTGAACTATAAATCCCAGCAACGACAACTCCCAAATGTCAAGGTCTATTTTCCCCAAACTCTACCAGTGTTCACATTTGGGCATGTTGAAAATTCATGCCAAGTTTGGTCCACATCCATCATTGCTTGAGTCCACAGTACTCTCTGGATGTAGGTGAACTACAACTCCAAAATTCAAGGTCAATGCCCACTAAAGCCTTCCAGTATTTTCTGTTGGTCATGGGAGTTCTCTGTGCCAGAGTTTGGTACAATTCCATTGTTGGTGGAGTTCAGAATGCTCTTTGATTGTAGGTGAACTATAAATCCCAGCAACGACAACTCCCAAAGGTCAAGGTCTATTTTCCCCAAACTCAATCAGTGTTCACATTTGGGCATATTGAGTATTGGTGCCAAGTTTGGTTCAGATCCATCATTGTTTGAGTCCACAGTACTCTCTGGATGTAGGTGAACTACAACTCCAAAATTCAAGGTCAATGCCCACTAAAGCCTTCCAGTATTTTCTGTTGCTCATGGGAGTTCTGTGTAACAAGTTTGGTTCAATTGCATCGTTGCTGGAGTTCAGAATGCTCTTTGATTGGATGTGAACTATAAATCCCAGGAACTACAACTCCCAAATGTCAAGGTCTATTTTCCCCAAACTACACTAGTGTTCATATTTGAGCATAATGAGTATTCATTCCAAGTTTGGTCCAGATCCATCATTGTTTGAGTCCACAGTGCTCTCTGTAGGTAGGTGAACTACAACTCCAAAACTCAAGGTCAATGCCCACTAAAGCCTTCCAGTATTTTCTATTGGTCAGGGGAGTTCTGTGTGCCAAGTTTCGTACAATTCTATTGTTGGTGGAGTTCAGAATGCTCTTTGATTGTAGGTGAACTATAAATCCCATCAACTACAACTCCCAAATTTCAAGGCCTATTTTCCCCAAACTACACTAGTGTTCATTTTTGAGCATAATGAGTATTCGTTCCAAGTTTGGTCCAGATCCATCATTGTTTGAGTCCACAGTGCTCTCTGTAGGTAGGTGAACTATAAATCCCAGCAACTACAATCCTGCAGGAAAGACACAGGATCCACCTGTGAAAAGCAAGGTATCGGGAGCCCAAGGGTGTATAATACAAAATTCAGGAAGTTGTCATTTGTTAGGGCACCAGCACCTTGTAAAACTACAACTTCCAGGATTCCACCGCCATGAGCTAAACGGCACTCATTTGACAGCGAAAGGTTGCCTCTGGCAGCAGAAAGTTATAGGTCGGTCCTGGAAGAAAGGTTTGGCATGGAATGTCCGGCACGGAACGTGGTGGCTTACGCCGGATCCAGTTACCACGCGTCATCCGACAGCTGCCTCCATAGACTAATCTCTTTGATTGACAGGTAACCAGATACGGTCCTCGTCTCTCCAACAGCAGAGCAAGGACAGGAATATACATTTATTTACTCCCTCTTTGCCATAAGGAAACAACAACAACAATAACAACAACAACCTAACCAAATAAATTCTTGATATCTTGGTTTTTAGACCTGTTCCTGGGCTTCTTTGGAGCCCCGATTCTGGGATTTATAGTTCGCCTACAATCAAAGAGCATTCTGAACTCCAACAATGATGGAATTGAACCAAACCTGGCACACAGAACTCCCATGACCGACGGAAAATACAGGTGGGCATTGACCCTGAGTTTTGGAGTTGTAGTTCACCTACATCCAGAAACTTTGACATTTAGCAGTTGTAGTTATTGGGATTTCTAGTTCAGCTACAATCAAAGAGCATTCCGAACTTCACTAAGGATGGAATTGAACCAGACTTGTCACACAGAACTCCCATGATATATCTGGACCAAACTTGGCACGGATACTCAATATGCCCAAATGTGAACACTGGTGGAGTTTGGGGAAAATAGACCTTGACACTTGAGAGTTGTAGTTGCTGGGATTTATAGTTCACCTACAATCACAGAGCATTCTGAACTCCAGCAACAATGGAATTGTACGAAACTTGGCACACAGAACTCCCATGACCAACAGAAAATTCTGGAAGGCTTTGGTGGGCACGGACCTTGAGTTTGGGAGTTGTAGTTCAACTACATCCAGAAAGCATGGTGGACTCAAACAATGATGGATCTGGACCAAATTCTACACAAATACTCAATTATGCCCAAATATGAACACTGGTAGAGTTTGGGGAAAATAGACCTTGACATTTGCGAGTTGTCATTGCTGGGATTTATAGTTCACCTACAATCCAAGAGAATTATGACTCTCACCAAGGACAGAATTGGGCCAGACTTCCTACACAGACACCCCCCCCCCCCCCCATGCCTTGAACACTGGTGGAGTTTGGGGAAAATAGAGCTTGACATTTGGGAGTTGTAGTTGCTGGGATTTATAGTTCGCCTACAATCCAAGAGAATTATGACTCTCACCAAGGACAGAATTGGGCCAGGCTTCCTACACAGAACCCCCCCCCCCCCCCCCCAATGCCTTGAACACTGGTGGAGTTTGGGGAAAATAGAGCTTGACATTTGGGAGTTGTAGTTGCTGGGATTTATAGTTCGCCTACAATCCAAGAGAATTATGACTCTCACCAAGGACAGAATTGGGCCAGGCTTCCTACACAGAACCCCCCCCCCCCCCCCCCCCCCCCCCCAATGCCTTGAACACTGGTGGAGTTTGGGGAAAATAGAGCTTGACATTTGGGAGTTGTAGTTACTGGGATTTATAGTTCACTTACAATCAAAGATCCCCTTGAACCGTACCAACAATAGAATTGGGCCTCCCCTTGGCTGACAGGCCAAATATCCCCAGAACCCGAGCTAACATTTGGGGCACCACCATGAATTACTTACTTACTTACTTAGGCGATCCCTCGCTTTCCGAGGATGATTGTCTTCCAATATTCTTGTGGGTCCGTATGTGGCTGTGGAGCCCTCTTCTTGCTCTGCATCTTCTTCCGCAGTGAGGGCATTGGTTTCCAGGTGGAAGGCGGTCTCGGTCGGGGTTGGCTTGACGCGCCTTCCTCTTGGCATGTTTCTCTCTTTCACCCTCCATTTGTGCCTCTTCAAATTCTGCAGCACTGCTGGTCACAGCTGACCTCCAGCTGGAGCACTCAAGGGCCAGGGCTTCCCAGTTCTCAGTGTCTATGCCAGAGTTTTTGAGGCTGGCTTTGAGCCCATCTTTAAATCTCTTTTCCTGCCCACCAACATTCGTTGAGTTCAGAGTAGAGCAACTGCTTTGGGAGACTGTGGTCGGGCATCCGGACAACATGGCCAGTCCAGCGGAGTTGATGGCGGAGAACCATCGCTTCAATGCTGGTGGTCTTTGCTTTTTCCAGCACGCTGACGTTTGTCCGCTTGTCTTCCCAAGAGAT